ATCATGACAAACTGTTTACCACGAAGAGACTAGCACATTGCATCGAAGAGGCATTCCTCAGTATCTTAACTATGAGGCTGTAACATTTAGTCACCACTTTCGTTTGTATGTGTACAGTAGAAGAGAGAAACACATTTTTCATATGTGAGCGGGAACATTTTGAGTCGCAGATGGCATATTCTTTTTCCGTCTTACTTAATTAGCTGAAGGACTTGTAATAAGTGACTTAAATTACATGTTGAAACAATTACTTACTACACGGCAAATTTTTGATGTTGGCTAAATTGGATTGTTACTGGCATTAAGCAAAAAAGAAATACTACACTTTTCAAAATTCGTAATTAAGAGAACCTTGTATGGTTGAAAATACCTGCATCTGGCCAGTTCATAAAAAGTTTTCGTGTTTGACAAATATCTAAAGGCCCACTCTTACTTTGCAGTCTGAAAATCATTCAAAAATTTCAAAGTGTTAATCAACCCTTGATGCTCTCACCTATGGTATACTTCATGCTTTACCCTAGTGAACTGATTTGATTTCAAAGCCGCCTACTTGTCTACGATATGGCCGATACTTGGAGTCGAATCTACGCCACAACACAGCAGCTCAGTGACAGTGGTACTGTATGTAAATTGATGATAATATCATGGGATATCGATGCACTTGTAAGGATGCCTGAGGGATCGGTCGTACGAGAGAAGTGCGAATAGACTAGGACATCTTTTCATGCCGTGAAATGATATCTACCCGCGGGTGAAATTCATTTCCTGCCAGCTTATGCAATTATAACCATGGAAACATTGAAAAAATGTGCAAGTTTTATTTGTTTTATGCACTCATCAAATAATCATATATTAATTTCTCTAATTTGAACAATAGAAAAAATATAAATTTCATCTTAATTTTTCCTGGATTCGCTTCGCGGCAACTTTACTTCATTACTAATTCCTCCATATTCCCTGGTTCTGGTCGTAATACCATTTATCCAGAAACTTGAACCAGCTGAGGATCTATGAAATAAAAATAAGTACAAAATAAAATGAAAAGGAATGAATGAATGAAACTTAGCAAAAAAATAAATTTTACCAAACTAGGGAACCATTACGTGTTTGATGAAATGCAAAACACTTTGGTGATCCTTCTATTTTTTTGTGATCCCTGGTGCAAACAGGGTATTTACAGAGTTTGCGTGTAAAAGCCAACGGCTCCAGGTTTGCATTAATAAGCATACCGCTCGTTTCAACTCATTAACAATTATAGTGACTTTTTTTCTTTTTCCTTTTACCATTTTAAAACGTCAGTTGTTAGGTCATTGGTCTGTTTTATTATTGATTTCGAAATATAATTGGAATTACTATTTAAAAGCTTCTAAGGCGATAAGTCAGTTGAAAATCAGAAGAGAATCAACTCCGGACAAAAGGCAAACTACATTGAAAGTTTACTGGTATGTTGCTCTTACCTTATCCCTGTCAGTTTTGAGCTCCAATGCTATTCTATCTAGCGTTGAGGAATCCGGAATACCATTGTAGGCTAAATACTCGAAATATAGATAAACCAGATCTGGATTGTATAGTAATTCCCACTGGAGTTTCCATGCCTGTCGGTCTCCATTAGTTTTATTTCCTGTTAAAGAAGCTCTTGATCCTTTATTATTGCTCAGAGAGTTGTGCGAGACGGCAAGAAAAACGTCATGCGCAGTCACCGATCATCTCGTTTTATTACATTTATGTTATCAAATTCAATTTTGCGCGTGTCCATTTTAGACACAGATGACGTTTGAGCATGCATTGGAGGGTAGCAGAAAAAGTCTCTCTAAATCAAAAATTTGAAGTACCGCTGCTCCTCGAGAGACTCTAAAATGTCTTGCATGCTTTTCTAATTTACCGCGAGTTTCAAACCTCGATGAACATATACAGACGAATGAACCAATTGTTGGTTCAATAAAGAGGCTATCGTGGATAATTTGACGAAAGAGTTCTTGGAAAGGGCCCAATACTACCAAAGCGTCTCTGCACAAAAATGGTTTCTACACCCTTCTTTCGTTTCTAAGACTGATTTGAGTATCATTGCAAAATTTAGCAAGTTTCGGTGTTACAAAAACTGGTTTGATCGTTCAGTAAAGAGAGATTCCCGCGTAAGACTGTTGTCGGTTGTAGTGACTAACGTTTCGACAACCTTGAGTTTGTTGAAGACTTCCGCTCAAGTTGTCGAAACGCCAGTCACTCCTATCAACTGCAGCCTTCCACACGTCAAATCTCAGCCGAATTATTAGGCTAAACGTTCTAAGTTTGATTTATAAGTATCAATCGATCGATTTTATTTCCATGCTGACCCAAGTTGTATCCACTTATATCGCTAGTTATCAAACGGTATCAATCATCGATGCTATCGATTGATCATGGCGGGAACAAAACGCAATTATAGTCAACACAACAATTTTTAAGGCATGCAGTGAATGAAAAAAATGAAATATTGATCTACTTTACCTTTCGGCAAGCAGTTTGGAGCCGAACCATTGTAAACTCCATCTTTACACGTCACATGATTAGAGCCGTTCATAACGAAACCTTCATTGCATGCAAACGTGTAATCAATTCCGCCTTCAGTGTCATTTCTGTGTACAACCCCATCGGTTAGCTGCGAGTCCAGTGGTACGCAAGCTAAAAAATAGAGACAACATCACACAATTTAGCAACCCTTGTGATTGAAATACCAGCCTTTAGCCATGAGAAAACAGGGAAGAGACCTGGAACAATACAGGAAATGAAAAGTGTCCATAAACGCGTTTTCGTTTGGTATCGAGTCGTTTGAATGCTAAGAGTCGTTGGAGAATGACTTGTTCCTTCTGTATGAATTAAATCGCTATCTTATGCTTCAAAGATTCTTGCACCGATGCGTCATCTAAGCTCTGTTTTGAACTATACACACGGAATGCAAAGCCTTCTGGACGAAAATGACTTTTTTTATCTTTTGTAAATAAAACTCATTTTCACCCAGTAGGCCCAGCACAAGCTTGCCTCATTGTGCAGTTAACGCGACGCCCAAAGCTCTGTTCTGATCTGCAGACACGGAGTGCAAAGCCTTTTGGACGAAAATAATTCTATTCTAAGGTAAATAAAACTCATTTTCACTTGAAAGGTCTAAAACCTGGACTCATTTTACGATTGAGCATTGTAGGAGCTCGTAAATAATCCAATTGACGGATCAAATACTGTGAATTGATGTTTAGCTATCGCACTAAACTATAAAAATTATTATTCTTAACCTGGCTTCACAGTGTCGTTTACAATAGCGACAAACTGAGTCACAGTCTCTTTTGTTGCTCGTCCGATTCGCACTTTGCCAGTTGTAAAAATATCGAACAAACACTCGGAGCTATCCCCACAAACATTCTGGGCCTCCTTCTCCAGCACCTTATCAGCGAAGTCCAATTTTTGACTGTCAGGAAATATTGGCTGGAAATTCGGATGGTGAAACGTGGAGTGGTCCTGCCCTTGTTGATAGACAAAGAGAGACTCATCTGGTTTGGTGACCCCTGCAGACGAAAGAAAAGGTGTAACAGTCAAGTGCACTTTTAAAGGATAGCGCCATTAAACGCGGGTATCCTGGGAGTTTCCCATGTGACTCTTGTCTTATTTTTTTGGCTTTCTTTGTCAGCATTTGAGAGTATGAGAAAAACCTGCTACATATTGGCAAATTTTAGATGTCTTTCTTTAAAAGTCTTAAAAGTAGTTTCATATCATTAAAGTTTATTGAGGTCTTTTGTGCTAAATAAGACCAAAACAACTTGACAGAATTTTTTCATAGCTTAATCGTTTGGTGAATTGAGGCGGAAGTAAATGAAATCATAATCATAGAAATTACTACGGAGGGGTTGACAACCTCAAAGGACACGATACAACTTAGCAGCATCTGCACTATGAAAAAAGTGTCTTCAAAAATTGTATTTCTAACCTGAAAATTATACTAATGGCCGGCTACAAAGGTTTTTGATATTTTGATTTAGGAATCTGAAATTTAAAAAGGCCATGCTTGCGTTTTATGACTTTCGAAACACCGGAAGGTAAATCCATAACCTGGAGTAACATAAAAAAAAGACCAGAAAGCAATCATATCTAACAGTTACGTACATAATTGTCCGAACTCTCTGTGTATGATTTCCAAACTCGAATTTGTATTCAGGAATGTTCCGTCAGGCTTGAGGAATTCCGTCTCTTTACTGTCATCCCAGTATCCAAGGAGACCGGAAGTATTACCTGCAATGACAATTTATCTTTCCACTCTCAATATCGGGTACTTGCTTCGATTTTTTAGCCTGTCCATTTAAGGAGTTGGGTATGTGATGTTGTTTCGTTTATATGCAATCTCACAGTTACCGAACGCATTGCGATTGGTCAATTTAGGGGGCCATCCTTCAGTTACTTTTTCAAAATCACCCTCTTGAATCCTTTCTTTCTCCAAATTGTTTGTTTAAACTTAATGAAGGCTAACTAACAAATGCCCGGGCTCGTTTTTCTTTCGAAGTACGTCTCTCGTAATATTATAGGAAGCCGCTCTGAGTAACCAATAATCGTTTCCCCAAACCAATTTGATGTACTTTACAAATACTGCAGTGAGTCGTAATTTCCCCCCGCAATTTACAATTTGTCACTGTTTCCCGTCGACTAAAGACCAACGCACATCACGCTTTGGCCATCAATTAACCATAAAAAAACTCTGTCCAGAACTTAGAGTAAAGACCTCAAACTTCGTTGGCAAGTGTGATATGACATCTCTTCTTTGATAAAAAGAGAAGAGTCAACTACCCACTTGGGACCTCTCCTTCCCCCAGCCGGGTAACACTTATTCAAAATGAGTATAGCTAAGATATCTCTCTTCTTTAGAAAGACTCATAAACGTTAAAGATAAACTGTGTACCCGTATACTTGGAAAGGGGAGAGAAATAACTGAAATTAATTTGAATTCTTCCACCTTCTCTTGATTTTTACCTTTGAAAATTGTTGGTACCAAAGTCACGAGACCAAGCAACTCTTGCTGCCCTTCAACTGTCACGGAGATGCCGGAGTTAAAAATAACGGAATATTTAGTAGTGTTGGTGTAATACAACACAGAGACTCCGGTGAATTCCAGGAGGGAGAGCTCATCAAAATCAACTCTTTCCCCATTCACCAAAACATCCACTAAGCCACGACCATTCAACTGGATCTACATTGAGCAGAAGAGAGAAAAAAAGTTTAACTAAGTACAACATTTAGTTTATTTATATTAACAAATAAATGAGGACATGCTGGCCCATCATGGATGATCCAGTCTCCTGTGACCCATTAACACTCCTGCATGGGTGGAGAAGGGCACATTAGGGGCAAAGTAGATGACCCAGCCGGGAGACGAACCTAGACCAGTGTAGATCTATCGGGCTCACGCCCAACATGCCAACCAATAGGCCACCTTGAGTCCAGCATGGCAATGACGGTCTAATATAAATACATCATGTGACGTACATTCCTGTGTGCCCCATAACCACATATATAAGATAATCAATAATTCTGTTTTCCCCATATTTTCCTAACCTGTACAACGTCTGATCCATTTTCTTTGGCTGCAAATGCCGTGTATACTGTGGCTTTTGAGGGCGATCCATCGTCTGCTAATAGAGGCTCCATACGCCCCTGC